GTGTGAAAGAGCGTTGATGTCACAGAGGATTTGGCACCAAGGTATCTTGGGGGAAGATGCACGGGTAATGCAGGCAAACAGAGGCTCCGTGTGATGGATGCAGTTTGGTGAAGTCCCTGCCTTGGCTGAGGTGCAGGGAGAGGGACGACAGGCCACGGGCAGGGTTTCCTCTCTATTGGCCAGTTTTCAGATGACTGTCGTAGCTGCACTAAGATCGACTGGAAAACCCAAGGCTCCAGGTAGAGAAGCAAGTTGCAGTTGGTTTTACCTCAGGGATCGGGGGAAAGCTGCAGAGATCAGAAAGAGAGCGCAAGAGAATGACAATACTTACCATTCACTTGAAAATGTCACAATTATTTCATGCTAATGTAATTATTTCTCTTGAGGCATGAAAATCACTTTTTAAAAAAGTAAATGGAGTGACACTGTTTTGCATTTTTACAAGCCTTTGAAAGTTGAGCTTCTTAAAAGGCACGGCTGGGTTCTCACCTTTCTGTATTGAGAACGTTCCAATAATAATTTTGGTTGAAGCGTATGGAGGCATTCTGCCCCCTCCCACCCAGATTTGGTAAAAATGGAGTATTTGAATAGCCTTTTGACATAATTGTGATTATTCTTGATATTTCAAAACCTTACATGTAATAGTTTCTTAAAGGTTCGTTGAAATGTGGAATCTGCAACAATGTGAGTAATCTCTGGATCTTACATTTTGGATCAGATCCTTATACATGAAGCAATACGTGCTTGCCACTTTTAAAAACATACTGAGTTATGCACATCTCTCAGTTAGCACATTTTAAATTAAAATATAAAAAGTCACTCATTCATTGGAAGAAATTACAAAAAAAAAAAGGTATTAGCTGTCAAACTCACAGTCATCTTCAACTGAAAAATCTGTCTTCAGCTCACATTCTTCCATGGTTCCAGACTTAGGTACCTGATTGCCCACTTGGTTCTGTCTACTCTGGAAGACCCATTGAAGGCAGCTTGAAGAAAACATGACCAAGTTTTCCACTCCCACCTGGAGCTCCACTGCTTTCCAAAGCCAAGAATAATAGCAATAATGTGAACCAGAAGGCCCCCATGTGGCCAACAATGGAAACCAACGTCTAACAGAACAGGCTTGGCTACGGTGGGTTGTGGGGGCAGGGGGATTGCTCTGCTTAGGTATCAAGAATTTGCTACTAAAAGCCCAGGGAGGGGCTGTCAGGTTCCCATTCTGATACCTAGGACATGTGATAGGATGTGGGTTTCTTCGAGAACAGAAACCATTCCCCCTTGCCCACTATAGGACAAACCAGAGGCCAGGGCTAGTTTCTGACTTCTTCATGTGTCTCTTCATGTTGTTGAACCTCATGAATGACAGATGTTCAGCTGTGGTGAGAAAAAGAGCTGAAATCCCTGCATCCTTACAGTGAAACAGAAGGCTTCTCCATTACTGCACCCAGTCAGCACTGTCACACAGCTTGTGACCCCTTCTTGCCATGGCCAACAACAGCCAAAGTGGCAAACCAGGGCATTTGAAATCAAATGAAAGGGACCCAAGAGCACCACCTTGCCAGGCTGTTCAGATGACCTACTAAACCAGGATAATTCCAGTAACAACTGGGCATGGAGTGAGAGCAAACCAGTTACACAGAAGTGGAAAAACAATAGGCACACATTCACAAGTAAGAAGTTCATTTGATCAAATGGCAATATATATTTTAAACAGAAGGCTCTACTGAGTCATAATACATCTTTATTTTAGAGGAATTGGTATCAAGGTAAATGGCACCCTAAAACAGAATGTTTCCTATATCTTGTATGTTACATAAATCCTTATATATTTGAAAACTAGGTTACAAGTGTAACAGAAAAACCTGTTTTTATACTTCAAAGTGGTTTTCTTAGATTTATGACATCTACATGGTATCGTTATGCACAGCTACTGGGGGTGTGTGGTCATCAAAACAAGGCGACTATCAGTGAGAACAGTGTTGTCCCATGCCAGGTAGAATCAAAGCACTGATTATGCCTCAATGTCAAGTTCTACACACAACACCCCACATTTCAAACTCTTGGATCCCAAGAGTTGAATAGGTAGGAATTCTAAACCACTCCAGTGGAAAATAATTAGAAAAGTATGTTGGGAAACCAGGGATAGGAAGAGGGAAATGGAGAGGAGACCAAGGCATGGCAGGGTCAACCCAGCCACAGGGCAGCTTCAGACACGATCAAGAGAATATTTATTGAAACAACAAAGTTGATTTGTGGAGTTGTTCCCCAGCAGGGAGGAGAGCACCTGTCCCCAGAGTGGGGACTGACCTGCAGGACATGGCCACCGCTGGGAGCCACCACACACTAGCATGGCACTTTGCTGATGCGTAAGTGAGCACACAGGTGCAGAGGGAGAGGGCAGTGTGTAGGTTACTTTAGGTTGCTCAGCATCTCAGTGATTCTGTTTTTGGGGCTATAATGGGACTCAGGGGGCAGGGAGAGGGAAGGAATCGGCAGCTCAGACCATGAAATCAGTAAAGTGTCACCTGTGTGGAAGGAGAAGGCGATGATGTCTGTGCTCGTGGTTAGCAGCAAAGCACAGTGTCCCATGCTTACAGTGCAGCTGAGTGGTAAGGAGAAACAGAACATTCCAGGCTGCCAAGGATGGTAAATGAAAATTAGATAGCACCCATTCTTACTCATCTGATACATAAATATCAGTGAGGATTTACATTGTACTATTCTTCTTACAAATAAGTGGGCTTTCAAAATATTTTAAGAGACATAGCCATTCTGGTTTGAACACTGCATTTGGATTCATACAGCTGGGTGCATGTTCCATTTAGCACAAGTGATATGGGGCTCCATGTAGAATAATGTTGCAGGGCACTTTCTGAAGCTTGGTCACAGCACAATGAATGCCAGGGACAGAGGGGCAATCTTCTTGGGGCTGGGTGCAAAACATTTTCATCTTTGTGTGAATGTATTATACAAAGATAAACTTGTTCCTTTGTACAGATAGATCTCAGGTCATCCACTGGAGCTCTTACACCTTAAACTTGTTTTCTTCTTGGCTTCTTCACAAGCAAGCCTATGTGGGAAGCCTTTCAATGGTTCTCAGCTTCTTTTCTGAATCTCACTGTCTTTCTTAAAGGTTTCAAAAATAGGTTCAAGTTTCATATTGATGCTAAGTGCCTCTTAAAATTCCTAACCTTGAGATTATAATCTTCCAATGCACTGACATACATACACATGTTCTAATAAAAACAGATGTTCTTATATCACCTACACTTAGCAATGTGCTTTTAAAACAGGTTTTTTTCTCAGTGCTACAGAAATACCTCCAAACACAATCAGGTTGATTATTAGATATGATCTCCTAAGCTGAAAAAGTGAAATGAGCCTAAACATGAGATAGGGCAAAAATTCCATTGTTCCTTTTACTTTAAAAACATTTTAAAAAAAAGTATAGCGATAGCAGAACTCACAATGAGTTTCTGCTTAGGGAAGATTGCCCTAATTACTGTATAACATGACTCTGGGAATTAGTCTTATGTGTGTGTAACTGAATGGGCTGCCTGACCTTACCTGATGGCATTGCCTCATCACTGACGCGCGTGCCCTCCAGTAAACAGTGAGTCTTCGACTTCTTGGAGCCTTTCAGTTATAGGCAAGGCTAAGTCATTCCCCTTTGCTTCATTTCTCCCCATACGCTCCCACTGTTGCAAATGGAAGACAGCTGTGTGAGGAGTGATGCGACACTAGCCTTCTTCCCTGGGAGGTTTCATAAGCCAACTTCCCATTCCTAGGTGGTGGCAGCCATTTTCTTGATGAGTGAGTTAGAAAGTCTGTCTCGAGCAAGATCCCAAAAATAACTGGCTTTAAGAAATGGACTTAGGAAACTAAAGTGACCCCGGATTAGCATGTTTCCATATTTAACCAGACTAATCTCATAGCAGGAAGTTGAATCTTTAGGCTCTGTTCACCAGGAAATCCTTTCACTGGGAACTTGTTTTAGCTAGCTCACTCACTCATAGTTGGCTCTCAGGGATGAAAGAAAATCAATACAAATGAGGCATAACAAGCATGGTCAATGCGTGGGCTCCACCGCATTGCATGGCTGCCAGAGTGCTGGCCACCATGGCCAGAGACTGACAGTTCGAAGGAAACCTCTGCTCATTTCCTGCCAGCCAAGTATGACTGCCTCTGAAAAGCAGATCTGAGCAGCAGAGAGATAGGGAGACCCGGAGGCCACGCCCTGGGAACTACACCTATGCTGTCCGTTCCCAGCACAGTCTGAACTGAACATTCTGGCCACAGCCATGCTTGCATCCTCAGCTCTGGCCCTGGTGTCTGGCACCTCTGTTAAGGAGCCCCCTGTGACCATAGGAAAACAAGTCTGACATCCAGAACACGGCTCCCAAGATAGGAAGAAACCTTTCAGGTGTCTGCACAGTTACCTGAGTCCCTGAACTTTCACCCCTAGGATAAAGGGTTGTTCCCTACCGGGGGGAATGGGACAAGGTGATGCCAAACCACAGGCCTGCTCAATTTACCTAAAGGCTGACATCAAACTCAGAAATGCTCCTGCTCCGTTATCTTTGGGGCTTCAGGTTTCAGACCAACTTATAGATGGTGCAATGCAAGGGTCACATGGGCCAAGTCTGAGGAGCCTGGTTCATTATCAAGCCATCTATACAAAGCCCAGAGAAGGAAGGGGAGCTGATGGAGGAAATGGCACCAAAGAAAAAGGAAAGTGGTCAAATCACATCTTTTTCCTAACACCCTCCTCCCTCCCTCAAGTGAAGAAAATCTGTGATTCCTGGCTTTTTACTATCACCTTGCCCTCATTTCCATCAGAGATGTTTGTCTCAATGATCCATCGGCCAGCCCCATCGCCATGGCAGAGGGGAACAAAAAGCGTGAGGAAAAAGAATCGTACGTTGGAATAATAAGCATGAAGACATTTGCACTGACAGAGCCCCAAAGTTTTTTTAAGTTAAATAACAGATTTAGAAAATACTGTGAAATATGATCTCAAAATAGAATGAGGTCTGGTCGGAGGGCTCAGTAAATGAACTATTTGAAAAGCTGACCAAAGAAAAGATCAGGAGGATGACCTTCCCACCTCAACCCTTCCCTCCGTTCCTGCCCTCAGACCCTGCTAGTTTGGATGTGCTAAAACAGAATAACCTAAAAGCCCACGAGAAAGTGCTGGTATTTGTCATGATCTCTTCAAGCCCATTCCATCTCAGTCACTCCAATTGTCTCCCTGATCAAGGCAGCTGACGGGCTTTGAGTGTATTTGGAGACACAGATTCAAAGACCTCATCGTCATCTTCCACCCCTTCTTCTATTGGCTTCATCTTGGCTGAGGCGCGCTGGTGTGGGGAGGACATATCTGCAGAAAGACACAGGAAGAAAAACTGCTTAGCACAACCTGCCCTGATATTGGTGTGATGCTGAAACTCCCATAGGAACATACAACACTGTGGCCATCTGTTGCTTCAACCCAGAAAGGCAGTTGCCCTCAACATTGTCTTGCATCTCACTAAAACAAGAAATGCATCCCAACCCCTGTCTTGGATGACTTGAGCTTTGTCAACACTGACAGTTCTCACGAAGTCAGTGCAGCACCTGTTTAGGATTCAGAATGGGATGCCTACATTAACAGCGCACACGGTGATTTGAGTCCTATCTTGCCTTTGAAAACTGGTTTAACATGGACTGCCTTAAAGCATAATTCCATTTTAAGATTATGAGACTGAACACTAACACACCATCTAAAACCATCCCTTTTCCTCTGCTAGGTCAGCTGCTGCCTGGATTGATGGGAGAAGAATTCGAGAGGGAGAGAATGGGGGCTGTAGGAGGGAAGGGCCAAGTAGGAGGCAACAGTCCCAAGGAGCAGCAGGGAGAAGAACAGCCCAGGGCCTCTGACAGTCCTCCCAACCAAAGGAGCCAAGACAGGATTCACCCCATCACCCGTTTGTTCACCGAAGGGTCACCAGATGCATTTGTCACAAAAGTGAAGAGTAGGAGTTACTACAGACAGGTGCACAGACTTGGTTTTTTTTTTAAAAAAAGATTTATTTATTTATTTATTTTTATTGGAAAGACAGATTTACAGAGAGAAGGAAATACAGAGATCTGTCCTTTGGTTCATTCCCAGGTGACCACAACGACCAGAGCCCAGCCAGTCCGAAACCAGGAGTCAGGAGCCTCCTCCGGGTCTCTCAAATGGATGCAGGGTCCCAAAGATTTGGGCTGTCCTCCACTGTCCTCCCAGGCCACAAGCAGGGAGTTGGGTGGGAAGTGGAGCAGCTGGGACATGAACTGGTACCTGCATGAGATCCTGGCACCTGCAAGGTGAGGATTCATCCTTTGAGCCCTAGATGCATACACTCCTTAAGGAGTCTGGTGAGCAGGAGAACTGATAGTATAAACATTAGACTCCTCCCTCCATCCCAGTTATACATTCAGTGTTAGGATATGCTTCTTCAGTGTCTACACCTGCCCCACACGCACCTGTGCCCAACTGCAGGGTAAGGTGGAGTTTAGCCTGCCTGTCAAGGCTGGACATGGGCTGGGTGTCAGGCTTAGGGTAAAGCACAATGGGTGAAACATGACTCTTTAATGCTTGCTGACAGCAAGTAGATGGGGAAGGATCTGAAGATGTATCCCATACTGGCTACAAGATGACCACAGGTCAGTGGTCACTTGCTGGAAAGAGTCAGCTGGCACCGCCAGGATGCTGCCATCAGCAAGAAGGATAAGGCCACCAGACCATCAGAAGGCTGCTCCAAGAGGAGGGCTGGGGCGATGGAGCGGCTGAATCACTCCAGTGCCCCACCACAAATAGGCAGCCGTCCTTGCTTCCCCGAAAGCACATGTGTAGAGGTCAAGTGGGGGCAGCCTGTATAGCAGCCAAGACCAGGGGTTCCAGGAATGTTATCAGACTTAGATCCCTGTTCAGCTGCTTCTCAGCAGTGCAACCTATAACCGCTTACAAGGCTTCCCAGGGCCTCAGTTTCCCATGTGTAGAAAGGGGACATGTCCAAGTCCTGTGTTACAGGGTCGCTGGGAGGATTAAATAAACGATGCTTGGAATATATTTAGGACAATGCTGGACATGCAGAAAACGCCACACTTCCTGTCATTTCTTATTAACTGCACAGTCACTAGCCTGTATTTGAAAAAATGTTAACACCAATAGTGACATATTCTAACATAAAAAGAGTGTAATGATGCAGGGCTAGAGTTTGGTATAATAAATGTGTTCCTTGTACATACATGAAAATTGTTCACTTATAAGACACCTAGGACAAATAACAACTTAGTTTCTTGAAATATGACTATTGACACAAATTGTAGAAGAAAATAAGCTTCTAATAAGATAGTCCAAGAGGGCCCAGTGCTGCTGTATAGTTCTTTCTCCCTCTCTCTCTCTCTCATGTGTGTGTTTCTAATGGTTAAAAATTGAGAAAGGAAAATTTTAACGGAACTTGTGCTCAAACAAGGATTTATAATTCTCAATCTAAGTTGTTCTAAGTGTGGCCAAATGGCCTTTTTGTTAACATCAGCAATTGTAGTGGCTTCTATCATATTTCTAGTCTCAAGCTATGATTGAATGTCATAAAATATTAACTTAGGCTGAGTATTTGCGATCAGATAAAATCCTCAGAACAAACAAGACAGCATGTCTGAGAGCATTAAACCAAATCAATAATACATATCATTCAGACATAATTATATAATATACATAAAAGAAACATAGTCTGTTTTGACAGAGGAGGCAGGGACTAGTTGATCTCTAGTTTTCAAGCGCATCTTTCAAACCACAGCTTAACATTCCACAGTTTGCTGGTATCCCTGGTGGAGCCAAAAGCCTACCAGACCCTCACCCATCACTGCATTTCTTTTGGCAAGGAAAAAAAAATGTAACTTCCTGTTTTATGTTTCAATATCACTGCAGGAGACTGAATGAAACTTCCCAAGAACTTTTTCCAAAAGAATTTATTATGTTCCCGCTATGATTACCTGGGCAAACAGAAGAGTTGTGCTGTTTGCATAGAACTTTAAAAGATAAAGAAGAATTAGCCACAATCCTAGGGTGACATTCCTGGGTCCCCACATTGGGTGTCTTTCATCTTCTAGTCTAAATCCAACCATCCTCTTCCTCTTGGCTTTTCTCCCCTTCTCCTGAAGTAGTATCTCCAATCCCATCCCTACCTACCACACTTCCATCCATTCCTTAATGTGGGGCAAAAATTCTGAGCTCTTCCACAAGGCATCTGCCCTCATTCCTTCTCCAGGAAGGTCTGCCCTGACCTTGGCTCAGCAACCACAGGCTGCATGTGCTGTGCTGGCAGCACCTGCTCTCAGCATAGTGAGCAGCTGGAGGGAGGGACAGAACCTACAGCCTTGCAGAAGTGCCACCTGTAGACAGAGTTTGGCATATTTGCTCAGACTTATACCTGGTGATGGGAAAAATACCCCTCTGTGAAACTCACCTGGTGAGCTTCTGGAAACAGATTCTGAGGCTGTAGGAAAAACACATGGCCTCATGTTTGTGCTGCAAAGGGTCGGGCCTTGGATGGGGCACCACGCACTTTGCTCAAGCAGCCAGATCTCAGATAACGGTGAAACCTCACTAGGAAAGGGGGCTGGTTTCACTTTAACTCATCTCCATTTTTTTAAATTAATTAATTTATTTGTATTACAGGATTGGAGAGAGAAAGGCAGAGAAACAGGTCTTCCATCCATTGGTTCACTCCCGAAATGGCTGTAATGACTGCAACTGAGCCAGTCTGACGCCAGGAGACAGGAGCTTCTTTGGGGTCTTCCTCATGGGTTCAGTTGCCCAAGCACATGGGCCATCCTCCGCTGCTTTCCCAGGTTATTAGCAAGGAACTAGACTGGAAGTGGAGCAGCCAGGACAAGAATTGGCAGCCATATGGGATGCTGACACTGCAAGTAGAGGCATTACCTACCTTGCTACAGCATGAGCTCCCATCTCATAACTTTGATGTAACTGATTTGACACTGCTTGGAACATAAATGAAAATACTGTGCTTTCAAGCCAATGTTAATAAGGCTTAGTAGAGGTAAGTGTTTGACACTAAGTATCTGGGAGGCAGCAGGGGGAATGGCTCAAATACTCAAGCCCTACAAAGCAAGACATGGATTGAGAACTTCCGGTTTTGGCTCAGCCCAGCCACAGTTGTTGCAGGCATTTTGGGGAATGAACCAGAAGAAGGAAGACCTCCTTTTCTGTATGTTTCAATCCCCCTGTCCCCCTCCTACGCATACTCCAAGTCTCTGCTTCCCAATTAAATGCAAAATAAAAATGAAAAAGAAGGCCTCAGGGCCAGAGCTGTAGCATAGCAGGTAAGGCTGGCAACCCTTCTTGCTCCCTGCTAATGCACCTGGGAAAGCAGTTGAAGATCCAAGCAGTTGGGTCCCTGCAAGTGAGACCCAGATGAAACTCCTAAGCTCCTAACTCGTGGCTTCAGGTTGGCGCAGCACTAGCCAATTCAGCCATTTGGGGAGTGAAGCAGACGATGGAAGATCTGTGTTTCTCCCCGCCCCCTTCTTCCCTGTAACTCTGCTTTTCAAATAAATACATACATCTTATTTTTTTAAAGGCTGGCCTAATTGTAATGTCACCTGTTACACTATTTTAATGCAATCAGCAGAAGATGTAGGGGAAACTATAAGGTTATCAGTTGCAGTGTTAAACGTTGGGGAAATAAAAATGAATCATTAGTCTCTGATTCTATCTTTTCTGATTTCTCAGAAACTCAAAGTACTTTTTAGAACAATTCATTCTTACTATATTCATTCATTTTACTATATTCATACTTCAAAAAAAAGATTTATATTTATTGGAAAGTCAGATATATAGAGAGGAGGAGAGGCAGAGAGGAAAATCTTCTGTCCACTGATTCACTCCCCAAATGGCTGCAATAGCCAGGGCTGACCTGATCTAAAGCTGGGAGCCAGGAGCTTCTTCTGGGTCTCAAACATGGTTGCAGGGTCCCAAGGCTTTGGGCCATCTTCGACTGCTTTCCCAGGTCACAAGCAGAGAGCTAGAAGGGAAGCAGGGCCACTGAGACACAAACCAGCATCCATATGGGAGCCTGGTGCCAGGCCCTACACTTTTTTATGTTTAAAAAATTTTTTTCCTTCATACTCAGAAATAAAAGACAACCTGAGCAACTTGTGAAGTTGGTGAGGGGTGGGGGCTGGCATTGTGACACAGTGTGAAAAACTGCCACTTTCAACACCAGCATTCCTATGGCTGCTGGTTTGTAACCTGGCTGCCCCAAGTCTGATCCAGCTCCCTGATAACAGGCAGGGAAAAGCAGTGGAGGATGGCCCCTAAGTCCCTGGGCCTCT